CTACTAGTAGCAAGAAGCTACTAGTTGGAGGCCATCGCAATTAGGTTGGAGGCCATTACTACTAGTAGCAAGAAGCTACTAGTTGGTGGCCATCGCTATTAGGTTCGAGGCCATTTCTACTAGTAGCAAGAAGCTACTAGTTGGCGGCCATCGCTATTAGGTTGGAGGCCATTACTACTAGTAGCAAGAAGCTACTAGTTGGAGGCCATCGCTATTAGGTTGGATGCCATTACTACTAGTAGCAAGAAGCTACTAGTTGGAGGCCATCGCTATTAGGTTGGAGGCCATCACTACTAGGCTATTAGGTTGGAGGCCATTACTACTAGTAGCAAGAAGCTACTAGGGTGGAGGACACGGTCCCTTCGATCGTTTCGATGTCCACGTACGGGTGCAGTTGATTGACCTGTGGGGGAGTTGCTCGAGAACTGATAAATTCACGCGCAGAAGCGAATACGGCTCGAAGTAAGGAAATACATTTGACTGTTTGCTCGAGACATGGCAAGAGGCCACTTGGAAGGGATCACTCTATATGCGGCTGGGGGGTTCAGGATTTCCTTCACTTGCGGCATTTTCATGGGTTTATTGCTGTGACCCCAAATATCGCGTAAGCATCTGCGAAATGCCGAGAAACACCCGCAAATTCCCAAAGCTGATATTATAGAGTAGTAAGTAGTTTAAGCCGTGTTTTGCAATTGTTTAAGAATAGGGAGGATGTGCACATTTGGGCAGGGGACTGGATGGAGGGGACCGAGCAAAATGTTCAAAACACAAGGTTTTGCGCAAAACGACTGCGAAAGCATCCATTAATCAAACTCTTTCAAAACATAAGTTTGATCTTTGTTGAAGTACAACTGTTCGCCGCTTTTGCATGTCTGCTTTACTTGAAAAAGATAGAACCCATGTCAAAAATGAGCCCCACAGATGTTGCAGGTGTAGCTCCCAACAAAGGCCACGTCGTGTGGGTGATCCTGCACCGGGTTTTCCCACCCACAGCTGCAGATCCCTTTTCTCCAGCTGTGGCATCTTTGCAGAGACCTCGGCCGATTCCCTGAACCTGGTGCCGCTTCTTGACAGAAGACCTATGAAGACCGCAGACCCGAGGTGCATGGCACACGTGGTAAGCATACAAGTGCTCCATTGTGGTAAGATTTTTTCGACCACATGTACCACTAGATTATCCACTGCCGGGGTTTGTTGGGACCATCATTTTCGGAGAGGTCGGGACCGTTCGAAGAGGGTCATCTTGTTCGCGTCATGTTTGTTCGAAGATGGTCCAAGTTAGTGTTGAGGCCCCGCATCCGAACACCCGGTGGAGCATTTTTCGGGGCGGAAACAGTTTGGCAGTTTCAGTGGGATTTCCCTCAGGTTCGACCACAAAGAGGGGGAACGAAGAAGAGTTCCCCAAGTAGCACAGTTTGACTTGCAGTCATCCCGGTTGAGTGGGGTCCTCAGCGCATGGTCATGCTGCATTGCTTAATTAGTTAGTTATGGCATGTTTGGTAGTTACGGTAATGCAGAAGATCCCTCATGCATCACAAACCATGAAGGAAACTCAACACAACTTTGGAATATTTTGGAATATGCTGGGACCATGTCTACCTGTATGCATTTGCATTCGTCCCTGGGGTAGAAGCTTGACTTCTTCGAGCGGTGAATGTTGTCCCCTGTTCCTTCTTGATATCCCTCGGGCATTTGGTCAATGAGGGCGAAGCTTTTGTTAATTACAAATTTAAACAGACAGTTGTCTACCCATGATCATTCCGCCTTTAGGGCGGGGGGGAGCTTCCTTGAAGAAGCATGAGCTATCCTGCGTCCAGTTACTAGTTTGCTTACTTCTCCTTACTTAATCAATTACGTGGTAAGGTAAGGGCTACAAAATAAAGGATAAAAGAAAGGTGTTCCCGGTGTTCCCTGTTCTCCTGATCTATTTGATCACGAACTCCCGGCCCAAGGTTCATTGAGGGTGGCAGCTCGCACACGGGCAACTTCGACTTACCATTGGCGACTTGGATGGCAGGCGCTTTCTTGAAGAGCGTCCTTGTTTTAGTAATAAGGCCAGGAGCCCCGTTCGTAGGGTCCGATCGCTCCGTTCGTAGCGATGCCAGGAGCCCCGATCGTAGCGTCCTCGTGTTCCTACTCGCTTTCTTGAAGAGTTGGGAGTTTATCAATTTATGACTTGGACTCGCAGTGGAGGTTGGGGGAACAGCACTCGAATGAGCTTTGGAAGCTCTACAACTGATTGCATTCAACGCAGTGTGAAAGCGCTTCGGCAGTGGAGTTGTTGCACTTTGCTCAGGCGGTGAAGCATCAAGAAGGTGCTGAGCTGAAGGCTTCACGGGTCACCCTGAGCTTCAGTTTCAATGTCGGAGGATATAGAAGTAAGACTTAGGACAGAATGAGGAGGTTGCACCAGGAGTTCTCGCAGAGCGCCAGGGTCGACATGGATCATGTCGAAGGGTCCACAGAAGCTGACGGGGCTGGCAGAAAAGGCCCGATTCGCTGGTGGAGCCTGTTTGGTTTGGGTCCACATTCGGTGTGAGTGCAGAAGGGAGTGAGTGTGGGAGTGAGTATGAGTAAGGGAGTGAGACCAGCTTCAAACCGTAGATGTCTACTGGTGCGCAGCGGAAAGAAACAAGATTAGTTGTAAGGTTAAGTGTTGCCGTAGCTAGCATGAGCTGAAACTTGATGAAGCTTGTATACTTTGTCTTGCACGGATCTTCTTAGATCAAGATCTAGTCATCTTGTCGCGCTGTTTTGGATGCTTTGGCGGAGGTTGACTTTGCCACCGGAGTCTTTCAATCTTGTGGTCCAGATGTCCAACTCTGTTCCAACTCCTTGAATCTTCAGGATTCCTGAAAGCCAACGGATGATTGATCTGCTCCACCTTTTCTTCGCCACAGAATATTTAAGGGGATGTGGAAACTACAAACAAAGTGAGGATGATAAGCGAAGAGAACGCAACACGCTTTTTTTACCATAGAAGACACACGCTCTAAAGGTTGTCACCCGCTCTAAAGGCAACTTTGAGCACTTCCTTACTTTGCTGGAAGGGCTCAGGAGCCTGAACCAGGTGCTTCGGCACCTCCACGTTCCATCAAATTCCCTGCAAAACCCTCTTTTGACGTGCAATTACATTTCCTTCGCACGACATAGAGTGTAATCCTCGTGTGGTTCTGGATGCTGTTCCATGCCCTCTTACCATCTTCACGCTCCAACAGCAAGCCCGATGGATGTTAGAACAAGACGCAGGATCACCCGCCCCCCCACCCCGCCGAACTCTCACCCATTTGGAGAAACGAATTGGGTCCACGTTCCATCCGTCGATTCGGTCTCCGAGGCTGCGGCCCATATCCTGGACGGCGAGAAGTTGGGACCTCCCGAAGGCGAACACGGCCTGTCCCGGTTTGTTTGACTGGAACAGGGAAGAAACCTCCAAAAATAGCCCAACTGTTGGGCATGTTGTTGCTTTTTAATATCTACCGGATATCCAACATCTATTGGGGAAGTTTATCAGTCATGAGTCATGAGTCAACATTAGATTTCGTTGGAGACTCGCATGTGTGGGTCCATACTGCGGGCCTGACTGAGAAATGACGACCATAAATGGTGTGTTTATGGTGTGATTTTGTCCAGAGAATCAGCAGTACTCTTCAAAGCAACAAAATCTCCAAAGATTCCATTCAGTCCACCGGCAGTCCGAAGCAAGCCCTTTGTCCCCGGGTAACCTCCGCGGCTCTCAACCCTCTAAAAATAAGAGCCTGACGACCTCCACGACTACTTCATGATTCATAACCTTCGCGAACGGAGCGAATTGGGGGGACAAAAGGTAGCAAAGCCAGGCCTCCCAGCCGACCAAAGCCAGCCCCGAACCCACGGAGTGGTCGGAGGTCGAACCAGTCTTGATCGCTTTTGAGGAGAGCGTTTGGAACTTGAAGTGAATCTACGTCAAATCGCATTGGAATAAAGATATCTGTTGTTGAGGCATCAAACACTTTATGAGTTCTGTGGTCCTGCTCTTCCTCCAACATGAAGTGCAATCCTGGGACGGACTCAGATTGCAAAATGGGCTTCGTTTGGCAGCTTCCGATCCACCAAGTGCCGAACACTCGTGATACTTTGGTCTCCGTGGCATTCATCCGAAGCTTTTTGTTGACTCAAGGAAGCCCTCAGCTTCGTTGAATCCTGTAATTGACTGCGCCATGTCAGAAAGAAAGCGACTGACAGAGCAATGAGAAGATCAAGCGCAGGAGAGGTGATGTTCCAAAAGTAATTGGTATGTGGCGAACTGTAGGGAGCATATATACAAAGGGATAGGGGTGATGATGTATAAGGATGACTATTTTCAGGCGCAAAAGGAGGCCATTTGTTTGTCGGAGTCATTCTCGAAGTTTCCTTAAAGCATGGGTATGCTGCAAAGTAGCCTGCTTTGCAGGGTAGAGTTTTGGCCAGTACAGGATGGCTTGGGAGAATTTGGATGTAGATTCAGCATTCAAGAGACTTGAATTGGAGTTGTGTCTCAGCTACACCTTCTACCTGCCGTGAGCATAACTCCATCGAACGACCCACCGAGCCGCGTGTTCGGCTCTAGGAGGCGATGGAGGGGACGTATTGAAAGATCTGTCCGTGTCTTGGAGAGTTGAAAGCGTCGGAATCGAGTGAGTCGAGGGCCTAGGGGAGTGAGTCAAAGCATGTTCAGACGGAGAGCGATGTTTTTGTCAGAACAAGAAGTGATGAATGTCATGTCGGAAGTGATGTCACTGTACTGTCTAAGATGCTTTGCCGGCTGGGCAATTTTCTTTCCCGGGAAGGACATCTACCTTGCCTCGTATGCTACCCTTCACCCCTTTTGCAGGGACAGTGTAGTGAGTGTCATCCGAGGAAGTCGAGTGTCGCGGTATGCCCAGCGACTGCTCAAGTGGAGAACATGGAAAAACCCAGACTCAAAGCCCTTCATTTGTTGTGGGGCGATTTTGAAGAAGACGACTAAGGCCAAGTCAATTGAAGCCTCTTTGGTTCACTTCAACCGCGCCATCAGTGCACTGCAAAAGGGCCGGCAATGGAGATCCGCCCTGGATGTCCTCGTGAGAATTGATCTTTTTGAGATCGAAGCAGATCCTCAGATTTGGTTTTGACCGTGAAGCGGCGTTTGTCCTTAAACATGACGCGCATCAAGATACTCATCATGTTTGCATCCTTTTGTACATCAATGTTGATCAACAAGGTGTGGATTCAAATTCCTTTTTGCTACGCCTGTGCAGCCTGGACATGTAGCCTCACGCCAATTGTCACCTCTGAACACAGCAGCTGAGGATGTCGTTTCATTCAATGCTGCTATCTCCGGTTGTGAGAAAGCTGCTGACTGGCAACGGGCGTTGCAGTTTCTGAGGGAGATTAGATTGAGGCGGTTGCAGCCCACAGTTATCACATGCAGTGCGTGTCGCTCGACGCCGAGTGATTTGAGACATTCATTTGCTAGTCAGCTAGTCATTACTACTAGCTTCTACCTACTAGCAGTAATGCCCTTGTTACTAGTGGCGATGCCCTTGTTAATAGTAGCTTCTAGTCAGCTAGTCATATAGATTTCTGAAGCCTGGTCCACTGACATACGAAAACCCAGCTGACCCTGGCGTATTTATGAGCAGATGTAGCGCAAGATGAACGCCAAACCTTCAGCCCCGGACCATCAGTCAGGTTGGCCAGGGAATTCCTCAAAATGAACCTGCTTTTTCCTTGCTGGACATGTGAAATCCCCTCATGCAGGGAATTTAACATGTCGGAGAAAGCAAATCCATGTGAGGCATCAGCGTTTGCGAGAAGAGCACTGCATGGCAAGTGGCATTGGAATTGCTGCGCCGGACTGTCACGTCTGCGGTCAAGGCAGACGTGTACACATACAGTGCCACGATCAGCGCGCTTGAAAAGGTTCAACGATGGCAGGAGCCTTGGTCGTGAACCTTTGGAAGAGGGATGTCTCAAATGGTCTCAGTCTCAGCGAACGAATTCTTGCTTTGCCCATGCTTGTCCCAAGATGTCAAAGACTTGTCAAAGACCCGAAGCTGGAGCCGATCTGTCTTTTTTGCCCGGAAGTCTGCGGGCTCCGGGAGGAGTGTGTACTCCCTGCCCTGCTGGTTGGATTCGCCAGTGTGGAAGGCCTATGAAGGACTCCAGAATTGTCAATCCTAGATTTGAGATGTTTCGAGATGCAAAAAAAAGTCCTGGATTTGCTGAGGAAGCCTTATGTTTGTTGGAGGAGATGAGCACAAGGAGCTTGAAGCCAAACCTTATCACTTTCAACGCTGTGATCAGTGCATGTCGGGAAGAATGGCAGCAAGGCCTCTTGATTCTGGCAAGAATGCAAGAGGAATCCTTGCAACCGGATTCGGGGCTCGATTGGTTCTTGCTTTCTTTAAACACCACGTTTACACCCCAACAATTAGCCTGGCTTGCCTTGATGTTTTTCCATGCTTTTCCTAGCCTCTGGTTCCACTGCCACACCATTTCCTCAACATACCTAGGATTTGATAACATATGCTGCTTCCATCAGTGCGTGTGAAAGCTACAGCCGCTGGGATCTTGGATGCGCCTTGCTATGTGAGCTGCACACCACTTCCCTGCAGGCGGATGGTGTGGTGTACAATGCAACCATCAGTGCCTGTGAGAAGGGAGGCGAGTGGCAGGCAACTTTGAAGTTAAGACCGACTGCCTTCCCGTGATTGAACATGACTTTCCATCATCCATCGATCCAGATGTCAGATGTCTAGTCAGTCCTTAGAACCAACGGCTGGTACGGCTGGAAGGTCCCAGGTCTGAAATGAGTGGGTCAGTTCCTCCAACATGCCTTCATCCACATTCTGGCACGACCCAGGTAGCTCTTGAGTTGCTCCGGGATATGAAGGAGATGGCTGATGTCATTTCCTACAGTCCCTTGCCTTACGCTCCCATTCTGAGCCGACTGGTGCGGAAGTGAACAGAAACGAAACACCGTCCTAAACAGCATGGTTTCTGGTGTCACATGTCTCGGGTTTCCTACACCACAGTTCACCCAAGGTGCAGTCATCGGCGCCTTAGAAAAGGATGGGAACTGGCCACGAGCCTTGCACCTACTGATGGAGCTTCCATGCTTGAGATGCCCGGTGAAACTGCAGCTGAAGGGGGGAGGTTCGTATTGGAGGGCAAAACAAACCCGATTAGAGAACAGCACAAAAAGTACAGCGAACAGGCGAACAAGGTATAGAGTCGTTGGATTTTTGCAACTCACTTTCCCAAGCTCTAAGGACTACAGCCAGACCTAGTGGTCTTCAATGCCACTGTGAGTGCTTGTGCGGCGTGCATTTGCTGGCGACAGGCTTTGTCCTTGCTGGAGCTGACCCGACGACACCATGCACCGAATTTGATCACCTACACAGCCGCCAGCAGCGCTTGCACCAAGGAGATGAAGTGGCGAGAAGCATTGGAGCTTATGAAACAACAAGAGAAGGAGGAGCCCCAAACGGACATCAACAAAACGGAGCAAAACGGCCGTGTTTATGCTCTGTGTCATTCCAATAAACATGAACATGGCATCGCATGTTATCATTTTCCATTGGGCCAGTGCGACTGGTGCCTGTCCATGAAAAGCCTCCCCAAGGATTTGCCACCAACAGTCATCACCTATGGAGGTGCCATTTCTGCCTTAGAAGAGGCAACACAGTGGCAACTAGCTTTGCAGCTTTTAGTGAAGCTGAAGTCATGGATCGTCCGGAGACCGATCCCTGGACAGACGCTGCAGAGGTGTGAAATGGGAGTTGGAAACGTGACTGAGGTGGAGAGCAGAGGACTGACTGGATCGAATCCTAGTGCATGACATGCTCCTTGTGTGCCAAGCGTTTCCGCAAGAGCACTCATTAATGTATGTGCTGTATGATCCATCAATTCCAGTGCCTCATTTTGCCAACTGCCGTGGATAACCATTGTAACACGAAGAGAATGCGGTGATCGATGGGGGTGCCTTTTTCCGTCCCAAGCGCCGCCCCCAGGTGACTCAGTCGATCGATCGGTCAGGTGACTCTGAGACAAAGAGACGCAAAAGCTCTGAGCACGGGAGGCCAAGGAATGGATTGAACGAGATATTTATGGATCCTTGACGACCATTTTGCGAGAGAGCCAATGTGGGAGTTGCGTGGACATGTGGGATGTTTGTTGGAAAGCAGGTTTAGATTGTTTGTTTCCAATAGCAGACACACGCATAAGGGGCATGTGTTTGTGGGCTCTTCCTCAGAGTTGGGAGACGTAATCAGGACTTTTCAGGCAAGAGAGTCGATCATGGTAAGCACCTGAGTTCACTCACTCACAGTACTTATATATAGTAGTCTGATTGTTCTGGTTCTCAGGGAGTGTAGTGTGAGTGCGTCATTTGTCATACTTATATTAGCTTATACTATTGTGTGTTCTCCCTTCCCTTCTCAAAAAGACAAGCACTATAAAATTAAAGAGTGGCAGTAAAGAGTGACACGCAACCAAAAGAAGGCCCACCTCAAGTAACCTGGAAGTGAAAAGACAGATGAACAACGGCTTGAAGGGGCGCCTTCCTCGTGAGTGAATTTTCACCCGAGGCGCCTCATCCGAGTGCAGGGGCACCGGCTGCCGACGCCAGGAGGTCGATGGTGTTTGGGTCGCAAGAAAAGAATGGCTATGTGAAAGGAGGTCGAACATGTGTTGAACATGTGTGATATGAAGATATACGAAGCACAGCTAAAAACATACCTTCATTCAGCCAGTTTTCTTATGTTCTTTTTTGAGCCTTTTCAATATCTAGGGAATGCGTGGCGAGAGTTTGCCAGGTGCCTGTCAAGGCGCAGTTCGGCAGTTTTTCTTGCCGATGCATGAGTTGTAGTTGTGCTTTGGAACCACTTGTTTGCTTCTTATGCACCCTTGTTGCTTTGGGAAGTTTAGAGCCGGTCCAGCCGGAGAGATCAGCCTCTCCCGGAAACCGGGTCCGGACGACGGCAGGTGCCGAACGGCATCCAGGCCGAACGGGTTGGAGCGGGAGGATACTCCACCGGTTGGGATGCGCATTCCTTTTCTGGGGCTGGATGTGATTTTTGGAGATCAATCTTTTGGGAATGTTGGGCTAACATTTGGTTGATCTTCGGGTCTTTAAACACTCCCTTGGGTGTTGATTAGCAATAGACCTGGTCCATAGCATGAACAAGATAATCAACATTCGAAGCATTTGTTACATATTATGATCTTCACAGAAAGTACTTCAGCATAGTTGTTTGTTTGTGCAACAGTTTGCAGCCTATGGATACAATGATTGATTTGTCTTCCAGTGTGCTCACATACCTCCCCCTCTTCGCCCTGACCCCCTTTGTAGTTTAGCCATGTGAATCTCTCTCCAATTCCCGATTGCATTGCAGTTCACAGCTCTTGAATTCTTGTACATGCAAGAAATGTATTGTTCAGCGATGGCCTCCACCCTAGTAGCGATGGCCTCCAACCTGCATTGGCATTTGTCATCAAGTTGTGGCAGAGCGAGTCGGGGAAGATCGCGCTAGATCCTCCGGTGCGCCCCACGCGTACTACTTCCTCCGCCCAAAACAGTGACGGGCCTCGTGTGCCTGGCATGTCCGAAGGAGGGTGTGCAGTGAGAAGGGGAGTAGGAAATGATCAGCACATATATCAGATTATATCAGCACTCTACCGTAGGACGAGGCATTCCGAACTGTCAAGCATCGTCCTTTCGATTCGGATTCACTTCTCGACTCTGGAAGGTTGATTCGGAGCTCAGACGGCGGAAAAGTAGTATTCGCAAATTAATGACTGACGTCGAAGCTGCAGGGGTGCGGATCCTCACTGATCCTCCGAAGAGCTGGGACCCGCCGCCAGGGCTTCGCCCTGTCTTGGTGCCCAGCTCACAGGAGCCGCGCTTTGGTTCTCCGGGAGGTTTTTTCAACCAGAGGCCATGTGGTTTCATCAAGCATTTCGTCGTGTGTGTATTTGACCAAAAGCAAGTCATCTGCAGATTTGAAAGTCGTTCATGTCATTTCATCCTTGGCCCGAGTTGGACCGAATTGAACATCACTCACTGGACTCCAACATCCCAAAAGGAACAAGCTTCTCAGTTCGTGGTGTTTGGTCTTGGTGTTTTGTCCAGCTCCAAAAGGCAGGCAGATCTGCAAGCCAATCAAGCGGGAATCATCTCTTGATCGCGACTTCTGCGAGGAGTTTCATTGGTTCAAGACTCCACATCAGTCGCTGGCTTTCACCCTCTGATTTGTTCATGCTGTGGCAGGAGCCGGGATCAAGGACGGTGTTGACAAGGCAGTCAACAAGAGCACTGAAGGGGAGAAAGTGAGAACCATCAGCTACACAGGTGCTTGCACATGTTTGATGAGCGATTAAGCTCCTCAGGACGGCTCCTTCACATGTCATCCTGCTTTGTTCATAGTTCATAGTACATGTCCCGTTGTACTGGTAGTTTTCGGAAGTCTTTCTTTGCTTTATCGCCTTCAAAATGTGCGATGATTCCAATTGCATAAGCATCATAAACGCGTTTCATTCATATGCTGGAATGGGCAAATGATAGGGAACTCACCAAAAACGATTCCCTGGTAACACGGTTCCAAAACAGAAGGGACCCATAAATTTGACGATGCAATCGCCACACATCATAAATGTTGACCACTTGCGCCACAATTTAATATAGTTTACTGGTAGGTTGGAGGCCATCGCTATAGTTAAGTTTCAATCCAGGAACCAATGAATAGTGCGAGCGCTTCTTCAAGGAAGCTCCCCTGCCAGCTTAACTTTAAGGGCGGGGGGAGCTTCCTTGAAGAAGCGTGAGCTATCCTGCGTCCTGCCTAGGAGCGTCCTGTACCTACTAGCTACCTCTCCCTTCATTAAGTAGGTAGTCTCTACTTAGTTAAGTAGGGAGTGGGGGAGAGCGAGCCGGCAAAAAAAAGAACTGGTTGTATATTTTATAGACTATAAATATGCAAATAGGTTTGAAGCACTTGCGCCGCAGACGCGCCTCACATCACCTCCAGGCCACCTGCGCCTCCCAAACCGTCCCGCTCACGGCAAGAAGGCCAGACAAGCGCTCCGCTGCCTTGAAGAGTCCCATGTCATGTTCCATGCGCATGAGTGAAGAAACGATAAAGGTTGATACCCATGTTCCAAGCCTTTCATCTACATGGGCGAGACTCAACCGAGCGGGGCCAAGCCTCCAGGAGCCAAGCCACCTGCAGAATCTCCAGCGCCAAAGGCACGTCTCCATGTTTGCATCGCGTCTCGCTTGTGGACCTTCAGCATCTTGAGCACCGGCGGATTTTGCAGCAACCCCATTGGCCCAAGATGCCCCAATGCTTTCTTGACACATTCCACGAACAGCGCGTCGGGTGATCCATTGAGGTGCTGGCTCCAACTGAAGGGGTGTTGGCAACCCAGTCTGTCAGTTTTTGCTAAGAAAACTGACATTTGTTTTGGAAATACCACATAATAACCTGATCAGCAGGGCGGACATCGAGGGACGTATTATGAGTATAGCGAAGCATATGCTCAAAAGTCGCTTCGCAGTTGTGGGGTTCTTTCTTGTGCCTTTTGTTTCCGTTTGAAGTTTCCTCATTGTCGCTGACCAGCGAGCTCAGGGATGGCAAAATTTCCTTCTACACTTTGCGGAGCAAACCGCAGGAACCTGTGAAGGTGGGCGCGGTTTCTGTGGTTTCTATGTGAGGGTTCTCCTTGGTTCTTCCATCTTCTTCATTCGCTAGGCCCTCAGGCGCTTGGATGTTTCAAGAGCTGGGCTCCCATCTTATGCTCAACGCATCTCGTTTTCACGTGCGTTCCCACACGTTCGATGAACCCTCGCTCGGCTCGTGGTTTTGGGCCTTTGGAACTCAGTCACCACAGGCGAATTCTTTAACGTGCGAATTCTTGAACTATATATTTGTTTGGAGCACTAATTACAAGCTTCTTGTTACTACTAGTCAAAGGAAGTTTAGTGTGCAAAACTTCCGTGTTACGGACATTCAACAGCTGTTCAACCACCACTCATCATACACCACTCATCAAACACTACTCATCATACACCACTCATCATACACCACTCATCATACACCACTCA